CCATCCATCCATCCATCCATCCATCCATCCATCCATCCATCCATCCATCCATCCATCCATCCATCCATCCATCCATCCATCCATCCATCCATCCATCCATCCATCCATCATCTTCCACTTGTTTTCGAGCCAGGTCACACTCTTACCAGATGCCCAAACCACCTCTATTTGCTCTTCTCGATGTTGAGCACTGCTCTACTCCAAGTCTCTCCTGGATAACTGAAATTCTCCCCGTCTCTAAGGGAGAGTTCAGCTACCCTATGGAGAAAACTCATTTTACCGCCACATTTACAAATACAAGTAGCAAAATGGCTACTGTTAGTGATCACTGAGCCAGGCCCCAAGCTTTTTAACTATCTCAGCCCCGGTTACCATACCACTTTATTTATAAATCACTTAAAACAGCTACAAGGCCAACCAAAGTGCTGTACAGACAAAACAACAGGTAACACACAAAGCAAAATACAAAATGAGGTAAATCAGAATATAGACAAAAACGATGCAGATAATGACGACAAACCAGTGTGGACCATACAGGATCAAAACACAGATCATCTTGTGTTGAAAGCCATTGAATAGTAGTGAGTTTTTAAACGGGACTTGAAAACCGAGAGGGAGGGGGCCTGTCTGACAAGCAGAGGTAACTCGTTCCAGAGTCTTGGTCCTGCTACAGAGAAGGCCCTGTCACCTCTGCGCTTAAGACGAGTTCCTGGAACTGTGAGGAGCAACTGGTCCGCTGACCTCAGGGAGCGTGGTGGGACATACGGTTGTAGCAAATCAGAGAGATGGGGGGGGGGGGGGGGGGGAGGGGCGACACTGTTCAGTGATTAGACATACATGAGTATTTTGAACTGGATTTGAAAGTGAACCGGTAACCAGTGCAGTGAGGCAGTTATGGACAGAGCAACCTCAAAGTCCCCCAACTCAATTAAATTAAACTGAATTCAGTTGATTTATATAGCGCTAAGTCACAACAGAATTTTTTATCAGGGCACTGTACAAAAACATTCACATTTATTAAAAAAGCCAATTACTAAATGTTATCTATCTAAGGAAGCCAGCAGATGGCGATGAACCCAATTCAGCTTCCTCCATGGAGGATGTGCCAGCGGGATTGAGAAGGCCTGAGAAATATTCCTTCATCCTCTTTACAATGTCATTGGCTGAGGTCAACACCACCCAACCCTCACTAAACACAGTGTCAGTAAAGCACTGCTTTCCTCACCTCAGCCACCTGATGGTCTGCCAGAAGCTCTTCTGAGCTGAGTGACAGTCTCTGTACAAGGCCACAACGAACTTCTCCCACGTTTGAGCTTTTGCCTTAGCAATAGTCAGGGCTGCAGCCCATGTGGCCTGCTGATACCTCTCAGCTGCCTCAGGAGTCCTACCAGTCAACAAGGCCCCACAGGACTCCTTCCTTACCTGGTGTGTCCACTACTAAGTTGAAGGATAGCCACTGCAAGAAACATCAACAACCTTGTAGCCACAACTCAAGGCAGCCACCTCAACAATGGAGGTTCAAAACATGGCCCACTGGGACTCAATGCCCCCCACTTCAGCTGGGATGCAGTTCTAGCTCTCTTGGAGGTGTGAGTAAAAAATTACAAAAAAAGTCCAGCCCCTATCAAGGAAATGTTTCCGGAGCACATGCTATGTGTCGAGGAGAGCCCAATTACTGTATATCTAGTTGGTACCTCTCAACCTCATGCACAAGCTCAGGTTCCTTCTCCACCAGAGAGGTAACATTCCATGTCCCATGAGCCAGCTTTGCTAAGGCAGGGTCAGAGGGCCAAGGTCCCTGCCTTCAGCTACAACCCATGGCACTGCAACAGACTCACATGGCCCCACCTGCAGGTGGTGAGCCAACAGAAAGGCAGTCTCACGTTGCTCATTTGGGATGAGCCCCTCCCCCAGATATAGTACCAGGTTAGGCCCCGGTAACACACATCCTAGCAAGGGACAGTGAGATCCTTGCTGTTTTCTGACAATATGAGTCCTAGAAATAACTTTGTCTGGCCTACCACCATTGTATAATCCCTCCAGCAAAATCTGGGTCTGCCTTGGGGTCTCCTTCAAGTGGGACATACCTGGAAAACTTCTGAAGGAATGTGAACCTAATCAGATGCCAGACCTACCTCAGCTGACTCCTTTTGATTAGGATAAACAGCTGTTGTACTATGAGCTCTACATAAGAAACTAATTTCAACCACTTGCAGCTAAATTTTTGTTCTCAGTCTTGATCTAAACATCGTAGGTGGGGGTTGTAGTAAAGTAGACAGACTAGTAAATTCAGAGGTTTGCTTTTTAGTTAAGCTTCTTCTTCACCAAGACAGACTAGACAGGCAACACCCTCATTACTACAGATGAGGCTTCAATCTGTTAATCCATCTCTCACATCATCTACTATTTTGACTCATGAACATGGCTCTCAAATGTGTGATCTTCTTTGATTGGAGCAGTGACTAATTCTTGACCTGGAGCAATGATTTTCTTAGTTTGAGAGTGGATACACATACAGAAAAAACATTGCATCAATAACTGGCATAAGCAAAAGTGGTTCAAAATCCATAGTCATTAAGACCTGAGCATAAATGGTTCTGTTTGGAGTGGTGCTGTAACTGAAAGACATGAACTAATGATGAAAGTCATTGTTCAGTAATGAACAGTTTCTCTGCATGACTGCAGATGACAATTATGTGTGTGTTTGGCAGCACTAAAGTAAGAGGACCCGTCCTGTGCCATTGTGAAATACGCTGGGGAGTAATTGAGTCTGACAACAAGTCACCTCTGGTAGTCAGCTGAGGGATCTTGACATATTACTACAAGGGTGACATACTACATGTCTTACCTATCCTGAGATAACATCCTGGTACAGTCTTTCAACAAGACAACACCCGTCCACATAAGTCACTTTTGTCTATGGGCTCATGTTAAGGTCCTCCTGTACACAGCCAAGTCTAAATATGAAAGTGCAATGTGTTATCATTGAATAAGCCCAAACAATGATACAATTTGTTCTCTGCATTTGACACATCACACATGTGGGATTTAGACAAGTGCAGCAGTGTGCAACAATTTAAGTGATTGGAAAATAAATAAGATAACTGACATGAGGAATCAAATCTGTGAAATTCCAGTCCCAAGATGGCTGCCCCAGTATTTCAGTTCAATTCTTCAATTCAGTTCAATTCAGTTCAGTTTATATAGCACCAAATCACAACAGAATTTGTCTCAGGGCACTGTACAAAAACATTCACATACATAAACACCACGCATAATACATTTTAACACCATCTTTCCATCAATAAAATGTGTGAGGTCAACTCCAATCAGGCATGTGTGGGATCAATTCACATGTTAACTTATCTGTCTGTGAATGTATATCTGTTAGTTGTCTTCCTTTAGTGTCAAGATGGACGATAATTTGAATGTTTTTCAGAATTGGATTTTGTACTCACACTGCTCTTGACATCTTTAAGTTTTGGGAGAATCTCAAGGGTGAAGCCATCAGCTTGACCTCTGGTTCGATTGCCACCATTCATGAAATTTCCAAATGCCAGAACCAGACCTAGAATATTCTTTACTGTTTCACTGTCCTGTAGAGCCTGTAAAAAGATCAAATATAAAACAAGAATCAAGACTGGAAAACAGTGCAAAAGACGTTCTGAGTATTTTCTTTTTTCCTCCAAATCTGTCAGATGAAAAAATACATTATCCTGTTTAAAATGCTCAAGTTTTTGACAAACATCTTGTGCAGTGTGTAGCTCTTGGAACATAGGTAGTAATTGACTTAGCTGCAACCAACTTTCCATCTTGTGTTTACTAAGGTAAGCTGGCTGTGACAGCCATCTTGAATCGAGGTGACCCCAAACATTAAGCAATTGTAGGATTTTTGTACATTAAACGATTACTTAGTGCAAGCTTTTATTAGAATTTGTCTAGTGGTTCATGAGACTTTTAAAATAACAGACAAATACATAAACACAAGTGTGCACACAAACACACACACATACACACAAAGGTTAGGGTACAAGTAAAAACATTAATAACATGTGTCTGGCATACTTTTATATTTTCTTTTGTTCCACCGGTCACAGCTTCCAAAGTTTTGTGAAGCAGTTTTACTCACCTTGCACACCTTCTTTAGATTACTCAGTTTCCTCATGATAGATGACGTGCACTCGGAAAAGCTGGACCGAAAGAGGATGCAGAACACTCTACTGGAGAAGTTTGGAATTAGAGAGAGCTGATAGAGAAATCTGCAATAAACAAGACAGGCATTAAGAAATATTAATGTTTGGTTTAACTTTGGCCTTTCAACATATTTCTATCTTCTACCTCTGTTTTTGTGGTGAGACTTTCAGAACAAGTTCAAATCCAGTTATCTGATTCAGATACCTTTGCTGTTAACACAGCATGAGTTCTCAAACTATGGTGCACAAATCCAAATGCGGGCACATTGTCATTACAGACAGAGTACATTGTCACTTTTATTTTTTAATGCTTAAGAAGATATAAGTGTAAATAATACTTTGTATTTGTGTTGTGCAAGTATGACATTTTGTGTTACACCAACCACATTTCACAATGTGATTACATCTTATAGTACTAATCTAATTGTTCCATACTTTCCCAACAGAGCACTTTACTCTCAGACTGCAGGTTTACTAGTGGTCCCAAAAGTTTCCAAAAGCATAATGGGAGGCAGATCTTTCAGTTATCAGGCTCCTCTCTTGTGGAACTAACTTCCAGTATCTGTCCGTGAGGCTGACACATTGTCTACGTTTAAGATTAGGCTTAAGTCTTTTCTTTTTGATAAATCTTATAGTTAGGGTTGGCTGGTTTCCTGAGCTATCTCTTAGTCATCCTGATATAGGCTTAGACTACTGCAGGACAAATTTACCACATTTCCTCATATGAATAGTTTGTATATGTAATTATTTATATTTTAAGATTTTTTTTTCTTTACTCCTATAGAAAGACCTGCTTGCCTCCTTTCTGGACCTGCCATTCTGTGTCTGTTTCTCCTTCCTTCCTCTCAAATCCAGTCGGTCGAAGCAGATGGATGCTCGTCCTGAGCCTGGTTCTGCTGGAGGTTTTGTCCCGTTATGATATGAGGGAATTTTTCCTTTCCACTGTTGTCTTTGTGCTTGCTCAGGATGGTAGATGGCGACGGAATGGAGATTCATTGCAATCTGCTGCTTCCTTAGATAGATATCTTTACTAACTGACTTTTTATGTATGTGAATGTTTTTGTACCATGCCCTGAGACAACTTCTGTTGTGACTTTGTGCTATATAAAAAATGAATTGAAATTTAATTGAATTTAATTGTTCCTTCTTGGGGCATAGCACGGTGGAGCAACTGGTAGAGCTGCTGCCTCTCAGCGAGCAGGTCCCCGGTTCAAATCCAGGTCCGGAGTCCCTTCTGGGTGGAGTTTGCATGTTCTCTCCGTGCATGCGTGGGTTTTCTCCGGGTACTCCGGTTTCCTCCCACAGACCAAAAACATGCATGTTTGGCTGATTGGTAGCTCTAAAATTGTCCCTAGGTGTGAGTGAGCGAGTGAATGGTTGTTTGTCTCAATTGTCTCTATGTGTCCCTGTGATGGACTTGCGACCTGTCCAGGGTGTACCCCGCCCCTCGCACAGTGATTGCTGGACATGGGCACCGGTGACCCCCGTGACCCAAAATAGAAGAAGCGGGTAAAAGATAATGAATGGATGGATGTTCCTTCTTGGGTGCTGAGATCATCTGACAAGCAGCTTTTGGTTATACCAAAAACTAAGTTGAAGCTCAGAGGAGATCAAGCTTTTTCAGTTGTGGCCCCTAAACTTTGGAGCAATCTACCCCCCAACATTAGACAGTCCATTTCACTTCCTGTTTTTAATCACTTTTTAAAACTCATCTATTTTCATTGACTTTTAAACCAGTGTGAGTTGTTTTAGTATTTTATTGATTTTGTGGTTTGTTTTTCTTTTGATTCTTTTAATTATTTTTTGTTTTTTCATTTAACTACTACCTTTTTTTTTTCATCGTTTTGATAATTGCTGTTTTAAAATGTGCTTTATAAATAACTTTGATGACTTGACTCTCTAGCAGGGAAGGACCTGAGCTTGTGCGTGAGGTTGAGCGGTACCAACTAGATATAGTTGGGCTCACCTTGACACACAGCATGGGTTCTGGAACCAGTCTCCTTGAGGGGGACTGGACCTTATTCCACTCTGGAGTTACCCATGGTGATAGGTGCCAAGCTGGTGTGGTTCTACTCTTAGCCCCCCAACTTAGTGCCTGTATGTTGGTGTTTTCCCCAGTAGCTTCCCTACACTTTTGGGCGAGGGATGGGTTCTGACAGTTGTTTGTGCCTACACACCAAATGGCAGTTTGGAGTATCTGGCCTTCTTGGAGTTGTTTGCATGGGTGCAGGAAGGAGTGACAGATGGGGACTCCTTTTTTTTGCTGGGGGACTTCAATGCCCACGTGAGTAATGACAGTGTGTCCTAGAGGAGTGTGACTGGGAGGAATGGCCACTCTGATTTGAATCCAAATGGTGTTACGTTGTTGGACTTGCTAGTCATAGTTTGTCCATCATGAACACCATGTTTTAACATAAGGGTGTCCATAAGTACACTTGACACCAGGACACCCTAGATTGTACTGGTAGATTGATTATTGATTTTGTAGTCATGTCATCTGATTTGCGGTCATTTGTTTTGGACACTTAGGTGAAAAGAGGAGTTGAGCTGTCAACTGATCACCTGGTTGTGAGTTGGATCAGATGTCGGGGAAAGATGCCAGGCAGACCTGGTAGACACAAACATGTAGTGAGGGTTTGCTGGGAATCCCTGGCAGAAGAAACTGTCAGAAAGATCTTCAATTCACACATCCTGATATTTAACTGCATCCAAGCTGAGGCGGGGGACAATGAGTCCAAGTGGGCCATGTTCCATACTTTAGTTTTTGAGGTAGCTGCCTTGACCTATTGACACAAGGTTGTCAGTGCTTCTCACAGTGGCCATCCTTGAACTTGGTGGTGGACACCCCGGGTTAGGGAGGCTGTCAAGCTTAAAAAGGAGTCCTATCAGGACTTGCTGGCTTGTGGTACTCCAGAGGCAGCTGAGGAGTACTGGAGGGCCAAGCAGTCTGCAGCCTTGGCTGTTGCTGAGGCATAAGCTTGGATGTGGGAGGAGTTTGGTGAGGCTTTGGCTAGAGACTCCAGGTTGTTTCAGAGGAGAATCTGGCAAACCATCAGGATGCTGAGGAGGCAGAAACTGCACTTTATGAAAGCTGTGTTCATTGAAGGTGGGGTACTGTTGATCTCAATCAGTGATGTTGTCAGGAGGTGGAAGGAATACTTCTTGGACCTTCTCGATCCTACCAGCATGTCTTCCCTGGAGGAAGCTGAGTTGGGAGACTTCAGGGTTGGTCTGTCCATAACCGTGGCTGAGGTCACAGAGGTAGTTAAAAAGCTCTGTGGTGGCAGGGCTCCGGGGGAGGACGAGATCTGCCTTGATTTTCTTAAGGGTCTGGATTATGTGGGGCTGTCTTGGTTGACATGCCTTTGCAACATCATATGGACATCTGGGGCAGCTCCACTGGATTGACAGACTGGGGTGGTTGTTCCCTTCTTCAAAAAAGGGGACTGGAAGGTGTGCTTCAATTATAGGGGCATCAGTCTCTTTAGTCTCCCTGGTAAGGTCTATTTAGGGGAACTGGAGAAGCGAGTCTTCTACCGGCACATCTTCCACTGAGGAAGCGGAGCCTGAGGTCAGGCTCTCCAATCTCTGGTGCTGAGGTCACTGAGGCAGTTAAAAAGCTCCTTGGTGGCAGGGCCCCAGGGGTGGATGCGATTCGCCCAGAGTTCTTTAAGGCTCTGGATGTTTTGGGGTTGTGTTGGCTTATGCGACTCTGTGATATTGCGTGGACATTGGGGCAGTTCCCCTGGATTGGCAGACTGGGGTGATGGTCCCCCTATTAAAAAAGGGGACTGTAGAGTGTGTTCCAACTACAGGGGTATCATGCTCTTAAGCCTCCCTGGTAAGGTCTATTCAGGGGTTCTGGAGAGCATGGTCCATCGGATAGTCAAACCTCGGATTAAGGAGGAGCAGTGTGGTTTTCATCCTTGCCATTGAACACTGGACCAGCTCTATGCCCTCAGCAGGGTCCTGGAGGGTGCATGGGAGTTTGCCCAACCAGTATATATGTGCTTTGTGGACTTAGACAGCGTTTGACCGCATCCCTCGGAGAACCCTGTGGGAGGTACTTTGGGAGTATGGGGTACCAGGCCCTTTGATATGGGCTGTTAGGTCCCTGTATGACCGGTATCAGAGTTTGGTCCGCATTGCCGGAAGTAGGTCAGGCTCGTTCCCAGTGAAAGTTGGACTCTGCCAAGGTTGCCCTTTGTCACAGATTCTGTGCATAATTTTTATGGACAGAATTTCTAGGTGCAGCCAAGGTGTTGAGGGGATCCATTTTGGTGATCTTAGGCTCAAGTCTTTGCTTTTTGCTGATGATATGGTCCTATTGGCTTCAACAGGTTGTGATTTACAACTTTCATTGGTGCGGTTCGCAGCAGAGTGTGACGCGGCCGGGATGAAGATCAGTTTCTCCAAGTCCGAGGCCATGGTTTTGAGCCGGAAAAGGGTAGAGTGCCCTCTCCAGATTGGGGAGGAGGTCCTGTCCCAAGTGGAGAAGTTCAAGTATCTCGGGGTCTTGTTCACGAATGTGGGAAAAATGGAGCGAGAGATCGATGCAGCGTCCGCAGTGAAGTGGTCGCTGTACTAGTCTGTCGTGATGAAGAGAGAGCTGAGTCAAAAGGCAAAGCACTTAATTTACTAGTCGATCTACAGTCCTACCCTCATCTATGGCCATGAGCTTCGGGTTGCTACTGAAAGAATGAGATCTCGGATACAAGCGGTTGAAATGAGTTTTCTCCGCAGGGTGGCTGGGCTCTCCCTTAGAGATAAGGTGAGAAGCTCGGTCATCTGGGAGGGACTCAGAGTAGAGTTGTTGATTCTCCACATCGAGAGGAACCAGGTGAGGTGGCTCGGGCATCTGGTTAGGATGCTTTCTGGATGCCTCCCTGGTGAGGTGTTCTGGACACGTCCCACTGGGAGGAGACCCAGGGGAAGACCCAGGACACGCTGGAGGGACTATGTTTCTTGGCTGGCTTGGGAATGCCTTGGGACTCCCCCGGAGGAGCTGGCCCAGGTGGCTGGGGAGAGGGAAGTTTGGACCTCCCTACTTAAGCTGCTACACCCGTGACCCGACCCTGGATAAGCGGAAGAAAAAGGATGGTTGGATGGAGAAGCGAGTCCAATTGTTGGTCAAACCTCAGATCCTGGAGGAATAATGAGGGTTCTGTCCCAGCCGTGGAACACTGGATCAGCTGTTTACCCTCACTAAGGTCCTCGAGGGGTCATGGGCGCTTGCCCATCCAGTCTAAATGTGTTTTTCGGACTTGGAAAAGGCGTTTGACCTTGTTCCTCGGGGTACATTGGAAAGGATGCTCCCTGGGTGTCTTCCAACGGAGGTGCTTCAGGTATGTTTGACTGAGAGAAGACCTCAGGCAAAACCCAAGACATGTTCGAAAGACCATATCTCTTGGTTGGCCTGGGAATGACAGAATCCTCTCAAAAGAGCTGGAAGAGGTGTCTCTGGAAAGAGATGCCATTGCCTCCCTGCTCAAGCTGCTGACCACTGGACCTGACTTGGGAACAAGCAGAAGATAATCAATGGAAGGATGGATGGATGGATGGATGGATGGACAACACAACCTAGCTTGTTACATACTTATTGCAAGCTAATAAAAACATGTTCAAAACTCAAAAAAGTTATCAACTCAACTCAAGTTATCATTCCATACTTACACAAAACAAGAGACAGTTATTATTGTTGTCATAACCCAAACTTACGGACAAATATCATCCAAGGCAATGTAGCATTTTACGGTTGATATCAGCTTAACAAATTAACACATCAGCTTTACGTTCAGCCATCTTGGATTTTCTACTTCCTCTATTTTTTTCCAAGTAACCAAAGCAATATTACAAATAAACCACCAGAAGAAGTTAAAGGGCAGCTTATAAAACTCTTAATCCTGTGTAACTCACAAAAGGCAGAACACAAACAGTATAAGTATACTATATATATATATATATATAGTCCTCTCAACAGGCAGGAGTCCAATCTTCTCAGTATGTACATGGCAGGTGAAATCCAGAGGCGTGGTCCAATGGTCGTAGCAAGGGTCAAGCACGTTGAAGCAGAGAAGCAAGAACAGGGCCGAGTCATGATCCAAAATAGTAGTCAAAGGGAGAGCAAGAGTCGTTACCGTGGTCAGATATGCAGACAAATCCAGAAAGGGGCAAGGCAAGGCGAGGAGTCAAAAAGCAGGCAAGGGTTCAAGGCAAGGATACAAAACTATGATACCATATACTAAGATTGAAGGCTTCACTATCAGGGACCATGGGAGGTTTAATAATTCAGCAAAGGACAAGCGAAAGTGGAACTCTTTAAATAAGGCAAAGAACAGGTGCAGTGAATCAGGGCTGATGAGCTGAAAGTGCAGAGGGAGGAGTGGTTAATGACAGAAGAAAAACAGCATGACAAAAGAGGAGCAGAAAACATGACATGATGGGGCTGTGAGTGTGAGACAGGGGCTGATGGGGGGTCAGCGGGGGCCGCTGACCATGACACACACACACACACACACACACACACACACACACACACACACACACGTGTATATATATGTATATGTATGTGTTTATTTATTTATGTGTGTATATGTGTATGTGTGTATGTATATATGTCATGTACATGTACACGCATTATATAAATAAAGTGAAAAGATGCAGTTTAATTGGACAAACATACTGAAGAAACTAAACGGCAAAACAAAAACAACAGTGGGTTTGCTGTCTTATCTTTCACACAAAAATAGTTGAAATCCTGGAAAAACACTCACTGTTCAGGTTTGTCCAGAGGCTTGGCGTTCTCTTTGTCTTTAGAGGATTTTATGTGCTTTTCAATTTTTTCCAACTCCTCCTGTTGTGCCCTCTGTGAAGAGACACAATAAACTTATTTAGTCTGTTCCAGATTTTTTTTAACTTTTGTTTAACACCAAAATAAAGATGTGCACTATAGTGTTGTTAATATTCACTTGCCCGAGTGATCAAGCAGCAAATCAGTATAAAAAAATGTAAAAAAAGACTACTATAAATATTTACTGTTTAACTGGAATGACCCCTTTTGGGAAGTCTTCTAAATTCTGGGTACTTGAAACAAAAAAGACTGATCCGATGACATAAAATTACACCATTTCAAATATTTACCATCCATACACAGGAACAGAACATCCGCTCATTCAGCTTTTATCTTTACCATCCATGCACAGCAACAGAACATCCGCTCATTCAGCTTTTATCTTTACCCACTTCTTTCTTTCCAAGTCACTGGTGCTCATGTCCAGCATACACTGTGCAAGAGGCAGGGACCACCCTGGACAGGTCACCAGTCCATTACAAAGACACAAAGAAACAAACAAGCCAAACAACCCTTGACACTCTCACACATACCTAGGGACAATTTAGAGTTATCGATTAACTTAAAATCAATGGCGGTTCTAGGCATGTATTTTTGTGGTGGCAGGCAGAAATGTGAAGGGGTCATCAAGCACTAGCGCATTTGTTGTCCTTTTTGATAACTGTTTTCTTCATACCCCTTGAATTGCCACCTTATCATGGTGGAGGAGTTTGTGATACTGAATGATCCTAGGAGCTATGCTGTCAGGGGCAACTGTAATTGCCCCTGGTAGGGTCTCCCAAGGCAGATTGGTTCTTGGTGACAGGCAAGAAAAAGAGCAATTCAGCAGACTTATATGGACAAACAATAACAAGGAACTCAGTGTCCCTTGCCCGGACATGGGTTACCGGGGCCCCACTCTGGAGCCAAGTCTGGGGGAGGAGCTCGTCGGCGAGTGCTTGGTGACATGTCTATACCCATGGGGTCTGGTCGGGCTCAGCCCAATGGAGCTACATGGGTTTGCCTTCCTGTGGGCCCATCACCTATGGGAGGGGCAATGCAAGTCGGGTGCATGATGCCATGGGCAGCAGCCAAAGGCAAGGGCCTTGGTGCTCTGACCCTGGCTTACCAAATCTGGATCCTGGGACAAGGAACATGTCCCAATATGTCCTCTCTGGTGGGGAAGGGGCCTGAGCTTGTGCGTGAGGTTGAGAGGTACTGACTAGATATAGTTGGGCTCACCTTGATGCACAGCGTGGGCTCCAGAACCAATCTCCTTGAGAGGAGCTGGACTTTCTTCCACTCTAGAATTGCCCATGGTGAGAGGCGCTAAGCTGGCATGGGTCTACTTTTAGCCCCCTGACTTGGTGCCTGTGTGTTGGAGTTTTCCCTGGTGGATGATAGGGTGCAATTTCTGTGGCAATTTATTTTGGACACTAGGGTGAAGAGAGGAGCTGAGCTGTCAACTGATCACCACCTGGTAGTGAGCTGGATCAGATGATGGGGTAAGATGCCGAACAGACCGGTTAGAGCTAAACATCTAGTGAGAGTTTGCTAGGAACACCTGGCAGAAGTACCTGTTAGGAAGATCTTCAACTCACACCTCTGGGAGAGCTTTGATCGCATCCCAGCTAAGGTGGGGGACATTGAGTCCAAGTGGGCCATGTTTCGCACATCAGTTGTTGAGGTAGCTGCTTTGAGCTGTGGCCTCAAGCTTGTCAGTGCTTCTCGTGGTGGCTTGTGGTCTCTCCAAATTCGGTGGTGGACACCCCGGGTTAGGTAGACTGTAAAGCTGAAGAAGGAGTCCTATTGGGCCTTGTTAGCTGGTGGGACTCCCTGGGCTGCCACCTTACCATGGTGGTGGGGTTTGAGTGCCCAATGATCCTAGGAGCTATGCTGTCAGGGGCTTTATGCCCCTAGTAGGGTCACCTAAGGCAGACAGTTCCTAGGTGAGGGACCAACCCTTATGATGAACACAATTAATGGAAACAATGTTCCCTTGCCCAGACGTGGGTCACCAAGGCCCCACTCTGGAGCTGGGCCTGGAGGTGGGACATGTTGATGAGCGCCTGGTGGCTGGGCTTTTACCCATGGAGCCCAGTTGGGCATAGCCCGAAGAGAAGATGTGGGTCCCCCTTCCCATGGGCTCACCACCTGTGGGAGGGGCCAAAGGGGTCAGGTTCAATGTGGGATAGGTGGTGGCAGAGGGTGGGGACCCTGGCAGTCTGATACTCAGCTACAGAAGCTGGCTATTGGGAGGTGGAATGTCACCTCTCTGGTGGGGAAGGAGCCTGAGCTGGTGTGCGAGGTTGAGAGGTTCCAGCTAGAAATAGTCGGACTCACCGCATGTCTCCGTGAGACGGAGCTTTAACTCCCACCTCCGGAAGAGCTTTGAACATGTTCCAGGGGAGGTGGGGGGCATTGATTCTGAGTGGGCCATGTTCCACGCCTCTATTGTCGAGGTGGCTTATCTGAGGTGTGGCCACAACGTTGTCAGTGCCTGTCGTGGCGGTAACCCTCAAATCCATTGGTGGACAACGGTGGTGAGGGATGCTGTCAGGCTGAAGAAGGAGTCCTATCTGGCCGTTTTGGCCTGTGGGACCCTGGAAGCAGCTGATGGGTACTGGCGGTCCAAGCGGCATACGGCTCAGGTGGTCACTGAGGCAAAAACTTGGGCATGGGAGGAGTTCGGAGAGGCCATGGAGAATTACTTCCGTACGGCTTCGAGGCGATTCTTGTCAACCATCCAGCATCTCAGGGAGAGAAAACGGAATGCCACCAACACTATTTATAGTGGAGGTGGTGTGCTGCTTACTTCAACTCAGGATGTCGTGGTTGGTGGGCAAAATACTTAAAAGACCTCCTCACTCCCACTGGCATGTCTTCCACTGAGGAAGCAGAGCCTTGGGGACTTTGGGTCGAGCTCTCCAGTCTCTGGTGCTGAGGTCACCAAGGTGGTTAAAAAGCTCCTCGGTGGTAGGGCCCCAGGGGTGGATGAGTTTCACCCGGAGTTCCTTAAGGCTCTGGATGTTGTGGGGTTGTGTTGGCTTACAAGACTCTGCAATATTCCGTGGACATTGGGGGCAGTTCCCCTGGATTGGCAGACTGGGGTGGTGGTCCCCCTATTCAAAAAGGGGACCGTAGAGTGTGTTCCAACTACAAGGGGATCACACTTTTAAGCCTCGCTGGTAAGGTCTGTTCGGGGGTCCTGGAGAGGAGGGTCCATCAGATAGTCAAACCTCGGATTCAGGAGGAGCAGTACGGTTTTTGTCCTTGTCGTGGAACACTGGACCAGCTCTACACCCTCAGCAGGATTCTGGAGGGTGTGTGGGAGTTTGCTCAGCATGTGCTTTGTAGACTTGGAGAAAGCGTTCAACTGCATTCCCTGGGGAGCCCTGTGGGGGGTACTCTGGGAGTATGGGGTACCAGGCTCTTTGATACGGGCTGTTAGGTCCCTGTCTGAGCGGTGTCAGAGCTTGGTCCGCATTGCCGGCAGTAAGTCGGGCTTGTTCCCAGTGAGAGTTGGACTCCGCCAAGGTTGCCCTTTGTCATTGATTCTGTTCATAACTTTTATGGACAGAATTTCTATGCGCAGCCAAGGTGTTGAGGGGATCCGTTTTGGTGGCCTTAGGATTTATTTTGTTTTATGCAGATAATGTGTTTAATAATTGATAATTGGTTTCATCAGGTCATGATCTACAGCTTTCACTAGAGCAGTTTGTAGCCAATTGTGACGCAGCCGGGATGAGGATCAGTTCTTCCAAATCCGAGGCCATGGTCTTGAGCTGGAAAAGGGTAGAGTGCCCTCTCCGGGTCAGGGAGGAGGTCCTGCCCCAAGTGGAGGAGTTTAAGTATCTCGGGGTATTGTACACGTATGAGGGGAAAATAGAGCGGGAGATTGATAGGCGGATAGGTGCAGCGTTGGCAGTGAAGCGGGCACTGTATCGGTCTGTTGTGGTGAAGAGAGAGCTGAGTCAAAAAGCAAAGCTCTCAATTTACCGGTCGATCTACGTTCCTACCCTCATCTATGGTCATGAGTTTTGGGTTGTGACCGAAAGAACAAGATCACATGTACAGGTGGCCGAAATGAGTTTTCTCTGCAGGGTGTCTGGGCTCTCCCTTAGAGATAGGGTGAGAAGCTCGGTCATCTGGGAGGGACTCAGAGTAGAGTTGCTGCGTCTCCACATCGAGAGGAGCATGTTGAGGTGTCTCGGGCATCTGGTTAGAATGCCTCCTGGACACCTCCCTGATGAGGTGTTCCGGGCATGTCCCACCGGGAGGAGACCCAGAGGACGACCCAGGACACGCTGGAGGGACTATGTTTCTTGGCTGGCCTGGGAACGCCTTGGGATTCCCTCGGAGGAGCTGGCCCAAGTGGCTGGCGAGTGGGAAATCCTGGCATCCCTACTTAGGCTGCTACCCCCGCGACTTTACCCTGGATAAGCGGAAGAGGATGGATGGATGGATGAATGGCTGGTGGGACTCCGGAGGCAGCTGTGGAGTTCTGGAAGGCCAAGCAGTCTGCAGTCTTGGCTGTTGTTGAGACAAAAAATTTGGATGTGGGAGGAATTCCATGAGGCCTAGGATAAAGACTCTCGGTAAGCTCCAAGGAGATTCTGGCAAACCATCATGCAGCTTAGGAAGGGAAAGAAGCTCTTTACTAATACTGTGTACAGTGAAGGTCAGGTGCTGTTGTCCTCAACCAGTGATGTAGTTGGGAGGTGGAAAGAATGCTTCTCTGACCTTCTCAATCCCACTGGCATGTCTTACATGGAGGAAGCTGTCAGGGAACTTTGGGGTTGGTCTATCCATATCTGTGGCTGAGGTCACCAAAGTAGTTAAAAGGTCCGTGGCAGCAGGGATCCAGGGGTGAATGAGATTTGCCCTGATTTCCGTAAGTATCTACAGGTCCTTCTCAAAAAATTAGCATATTGTGATAAAGGTCAATATTTTCCATAATGTAATGATAAAAATGAAACTTTCATATATTTCAGATTCATTGCACACCAACTGAAATATTTCAGGTCTTTAATTGT